GGTAAAATTGAGGCTAAGGTGGATAAAGTTGGACCCGAAACTGAAAACATATTCGATAACAGCTTCTGGCAAGGACTGGATGTGGTCACTAATGCCTTAGACAACATTGAAGCAAGAGCATACGTTGATCGTCGTTGTGTCTTCTTCAAGAAACCTTTATTAGAATCGGGAACTTTGGGCACCAAGGGAAATACTCAGGTTGTTATTCCTAGATTGACCGAGTCATACTCCTCTTCTCAAGATCCTCCCGAAAAATCTATTCCGCTGTGTACCTTGAGATCGTTCCCTAATAAGATTGACCATACAATTGCTTGGGCCAAATCACTATTTCAGGGGTACTTTTATGAAGCGCCAGAAAATGTCAACTTGTATTTATCACAGCCCAACTATGTTGAGAACATTTTGAAGCAAAGTGGCGATGCCAAAGGTACATTAGAAACTATTTCTCAGTATTTGAACGAGAGGCCTTATACCTTTGAAGACTGTATCAAATGGGCAAGATTGCAGTTTGAGACCAAGTTCAACCACGAAATTCAGCAGTTGCTTTACAACTTCCCTAAAGACTCCGTAACCTCCACGGGTGCACCATTTTGGTCAGGTCCAAAACGTGCTCCCACACCATTGGAGTTTGATGTCAACAATGAAGATCACTTCAACTTCGTCGTTGGAGGCGCAAACCTTTTGGCTTTCATATATGGTTTGAAGGGAGATCAAGGTGAGCCCGATAAGGCCCACTATAAGGCAGTTTTAGACACTTTGAAGATTGAGCCATTCAAGCCTAGAAGTGATGTTAAGATACAAGCTGATGATAACGACCCAGATCCAAATGCTAACGGCAACGATCTGAACGATGATGTTATTCAGAAGCTTTCAGACTCACTACCACCACCTTCTTCGTTAGCCGGTTATCGATTAACTCCTGCTGAATTTGAGAAGGATGACGACTCTAATCATCACATTCAGTTCATTGCTGCTGCCTCCAACTGTAGGGCCTTGAACTATGCGATCGAGACAGCCGACAAGCAAAAGACCAAATTCATTGCAGGCCGAATCGTTCCAGCTATTGCCACAACTACGGCTCTGGTGACTGGCTTAATTACTTTGGAGCTATACAAAGTTGTTTTTGGAAAGGAGAAGATCGAGGATTACAAGAATGGATTTGTCAACCTTGCATTGCCATTCTTTGGTTTTTCAGAGCCAATTGCATCTCCTCAATCCAAATATAACGATAAATCCTTTGACCAAATCTGGGATAGATTTGATATAGACAAAGATCTTACTCTACAGGAATTGCTAGACAAGTTTGAGAAGGATGAAGGACTAGCTATCAATATGTTATCCTATGGAGTGTCTCTCTTATATGCTTCTTTCCATCCACCGAAAAAGTTGAAGGATAGACTACCCTTGAAGTTGACCGAGCTGATCAAGACTGTGTCTAAGAAGGACATTCCGGCTCACGAGTCGAAGCTGATTTTCGAAATCTGCGCTGATGATAAAGAAGGTGAAGATGTTGAAGTTCCATACATCTGTTTGCACTTAGATTAACTACCTAGTTTTATTAAGTAAGCGATTTATGTTTATGTAATACACGACTGTGTTAAAGCATCTTAAAATGTGGGTTGTGTGGTGGTCTGAGACTCTACTGGGGCAGTAACGGTACAGAATTCTCAAATCGTCAGCGCTTATTAATCTGCCGTTATGGAATATTCACTTAGAAAACTTTACGGAGGAGCAATTACCATTCAATTGCCCGAGACATTGCTGGATGCTTCTAAATTCAGGGAGGTCCCCGATAGCCAGGAGGTTTTCGTCAATGGGGGCACCAATACCACCAATTACCAAGAATTGAACAAAAACGACTCAATCATCATCGATTTGCTAGAACGAGCGGACAAGGATATTGATGTTGCATTGAAGACACATATTCAGGACATTTCGGAGGCCAACGGGGTCGGAGCCAACTGGTTTTTGGCTTTTTCAGAGACGGTTCCTGACGCCAAGAAAATAGCTATTGTCTTAGAAGAGGCTAAGAAATGGGGTAAAGATAGCAAAGGAGATGTCTTGGTCATGGTCATCGGACTTATACGATTGAAGAATGTATCTACCGATGTTGTGATAACAGCCAATGTTCCAATTGGTGACAATGAGAAGGAGGTTGAAGGTTTGCATAAGCTCGTAGAACATAGATACCACCATGCTGATGACGACAACTTGGCTTTTCAAAGAATCAAAGTTGCCGAAGGTGTTGTATTGAAGATACTTGAAACTTTTCATGTTGAAAACTGGGGATTGTTTGGTTGATCTGGAGAGGTTTCAACATGTCAGGAACGTAGTGTTTCAGGGTTGGGTTATTTATGTTCTAGTTTTGTAGTTGAATTGAATTAAGTTATTGATTTATCTTTGGAAGTTGGCACAGTAGTAAGGGTAAAATGTTTAGTGTTGTCAGTAAACTGAACGATTGAAAGACTTCTGGAAGGAGTAGTTTGCAGGATCGTCTCAATCTATCTTCTGATGGATTTTAAGGAAGTGGCTAGCTTTACTCAGTGCCTCTGATGAGTGTGCTGTGGAGGCGTCTAGGAACTTTTGTAGTGAACTCTTCTCTATGCAAAGTAGCCTTCAACGAATGGGCCGTAAAACCCTGATCTCTAGGGTTGTAATGATAAAAGTCAACATTTGTTGAGGAAACTAACTTGGTTGGAACTTGTGGCTCTAACTTGATGGAAGGAACTTCCAACGATACAAAAACGACATTTGTGAACCGTCTAAGTTAACATGATCCAGCTAGAATCCAATGCCAGAAATACCAGGTGATGAATTAGTCATGACCATACAATCCGTGAGTACCAAGGTTCATCATATCACACATGGTTGTAGTTCCCGAAACCCTCTGGGAACTCCGGCGTTTGAGTTTTCGGCCTTTCTAAACTTAGACTGTGACATGAGTCACAATTTCTCGGACTTTCAGGCTTTTGGCAAAGAATCTGTACCTAGAAAGGTGTGCCGTTGGATGACCATGACTACAATCACTGTCCGAAGTGCATACCGTTCGATTCCCTGTGATGGCGCTAGTTACCCGATATGGGTTTTTTTGTTGCGATGAGCAGGAGATCTGTCGTATAACTGTGGCGTCTTCAGCACGGAATATTTCTTTTTCCAGAGCCCATCTCCATATAAAGAACGGGTCAACTTCGGCCTTCAAAAACCAGTAGACTGTATAATGAAGTTAGAGAGACCGGTGAAAACAATTGCCATTATTGGAGGTGGGCCTTCAGGTGCCATTGCCCTGAATACACTCCTGGAAGAGGGAGAGTTTGAAGAGATTGTGCTGTTCGAGAGAAGGAATCAATTAGGGGGTATATGGAATCTCAACGATAGTAAATCTGACTCTACTCTTAATCTGACCGCTGAAGGTGTCAAAGATTATTCGCCTGACGTGCCGGTTTTTGAAAATGGTGAATTGATCAGAGAGGGACACAATTCTCCCTACCAAAAGTTCCACGGAACTGCAGGGTACCCCGGTATGAGGACTAATGTTACAGAAGACTTGATGACCTTTTCTGATGATACAAGATGGCCCTGGTTGATTCAGCCTGAAGAAGCTGGTTTTACAAACGCTGAAGCGGTTCATGCTTATTTATTGAACTACTTTGAAAAAGTCAAGGGTAAGGCCAACTACAGTATCGAATTGCAAACTAGTGTTGAAGAAGTCACCAAACCTGGGGGCAAATTTCAACTGGTTCTTAGAAAAGATCTGCAGGATGGCAAAGAAAGATGGTATAAACAACAATTTGATGCTGTAATTGTGGCACCGGGAAACTTCAACGTTCCATTTATTCCTACCAAGTATCCTGGAATCCTAGACGTGAATAAAGATGTTTTGTTTCATTCAAGATTCTATAAGGATAATAAACAATTTATAGACAAGACTGTTCTTGTCATTGGCTCAAAAGTCTCCGGTGTTGATATGGTCAAACTAATTTCACCTGTCGCAAAAGAACTTTATATCTCACACCGATCCACATCATCCACAATTAAGAGTCAAAATCTCCCTAACGTTTGGAAAAAGCCAGACATTGCAAAGGTTGAACAGAGAGACGATGGCAAGGTTAGCGTTCAGTTCAAGGATGACACAGTGGTTATTGTTGACTATATTGTTTTTGCTACAGGATATCAGTTATCTTTCCCATTCTTGAGAAAATTCGATCCAGATTTTACTACGGGGAACCGAATCAACAACTTATATCTGCACACATTTTACACACCAGATCCTCTCTTAATTTCTATTGGACTTTACGTGTCGAGTTTATCGTATAGGGCGTTTGAATATCAAGCGATAACAGCTGCTAGATTCTTGAGTGGGAAGGGTGAACTTCCTTCCAAAGAGGAGCAACAGAAATGGTACAATGACAGAGTTGACCAATATGGAGACTCGAAAGATTTCTATTTCCTGAATTTCGATGAAAAGTTGGATATATTTGACGAACTCATCAAAGTTGGGGGAGGTGTAGAAGGAAACAGGAGGTATTTTGTGCTCACCGAAGACCAGCACAGGTCAAGAGAGGCTGCTCGTAGAAGATTAGAAGGATTAGCCGACACCATTTGAGGGAACACTGACAAAACTGCATATCACGGAGAACCTATTGGATAGACAATTGGAGGATGAATTGGCTGAATCTCCTAAGAGACGAATTCGTTAATATATTAATCACTTATATAATTACTAGATTTGAGAGCATTTATAGATTGCATAATAAAAACATTTGAACACTTGCGCTTAATTTGAAGCAGGACTAAGCCCTCTTCGAATGGGAGTCAAATTAACTCTAGATGCTAGACTGATTAGTGTGCCGCCTTTTCTAACGATCTATAAAAAAAAACTACGGCTTTTACAATTGAACTTATTTTAATAGAACCTACGGTGAGTTGATTGGGAACAATGTAACCACTAATCTATTCTAGGTAGTGTATTACATACATATGTTTTAAAAAAAGGCGCATTTGCCCTTTTGGCCAAGTGGTAAGGCGTCTCACTCGTAATGAGAAGACCGATGGTTCGATCCCGTCAAAGGGCACAAATGAGTTTTTTTTTAGTTCCTGGTAACTTGCCACACTGGAATCAACGGAAACCATCTACATGTTCATGTCACTTTATCTTATTACGTTCTACCTAAAAAGTGATTAGCTATATCTGCTCACTATTTCTGAAACACTGTCTTTGACATGGGCTACATCGATTTTTGGTGAGATAATTGTATCATAGATGACTCTGAATCGGGATTTACCTTCTGACGTAAGATGAGCACTCATTTGCCTTTGAAGATAGTCCAAATCACAACAACATTGATACAATCCATACGTTGAAAATTCGTGAATGCGATTGAATGAGTCCAAGATCTTTTTGGTACTATAATCATGAAAGTAGTCAAGAATCCTGTTGGCCAGTGGTTCGGGAATATCGAGTCGCAATAGCTTGGTCTTCACTAAGGTTAAAAAATTTAGCAGATGATGGGCATAGCTACTCACATCCTTAGGAGGTTGCTCTGTCTGCCAGTCTTTCCTGTCAATACCTTTATTAACAATCTTTGTAATGATTGGGTTCCCCAAAAGAGTGTAATTCTGAAAAAGGGTCAGCTCCAGATTGTCTAGTTTGACAAATATCTCCAAATTATCGTCATAGAGTTGCCTGTTAAATAATGAGTCGTATAGTTTTATAGCGTCGACAAAAACGGAACTCTTCAACTTGATAAGATTCGTTAATGTTATTAGTTTGTATTCGTTTGATTTTTGAAAGAAGTCTTGTTCAGAAGAATTTGTTTGAGAATCGTATAAACCTTTCTTAAGCAAGTTCTCTACTAAAAGCTGAAAAGAATTGAGTAATTGACGTTCGATGACTTGGAAGGTATTTTCATGGGGGGTTACCGCAAAGACCACGTTCTTTAAATCTCGTATAACGTTGTTGTAATATAAGTGGACCATGAGTGGCATCAGTGTACAGCCTTGACGCATAGTGGAAGTTTGCCAGTTCTCAAGCTTGTAAAATTCCTTTACGTCGTTTATCAGATAGGCAAGTACACCGCTGATAATTCTGCCATTTATTTTAAGGTTTGTTAAATTCAATTGATCCAGAACGTCTGGTCTTAATCCCCAAGACTCACTCTGTTGATACAACCTGGCAAAAACATCTAGCAAGTTATTTTGAAATCTGTTCAGATATTTTAGTGCAGAAACAGCATTACTGAAGCAGGGAATAAATCCAAAATCAGATGTAACTCCCGTGTACTGAAGATCTTTATCAATCAGTTGTTCTCTCAAATTTGGGTCAGTTAGGTCAGTCAATGTTTCGTCATTGCTTTTGAAAAAGAGATTCAGACAACCACAAACATCGTAAATGAGCTTCTCAATCATCATATTTATTCTTAACATGTCTGATTCAGTTAATTGGACGTGAGCTTTCGAGTTTTGAGGAATTCTATCAACGAGATGAGTCTTGGCAATCTGTTTCTGATAATTACCATTCTTAAAATACTGACAAATGGAGACAAAGAGCAATAATTCATGGTTCAAGAAATTAGTGAGGAACCCAATGTATTCTTCAATTTGCTCCCACATGCTATTGACCAACGGCAAATCTAGTCGCTTTAGATCAATATCATAGTGGTTGTAAGTAATTGATTCATGTTTGAGCTGGCTGGTTAAAAAGTTTAGACCATTGTTAGCCAAAACTTCAGACAACAATTCTTCAGTTTGAGTATAGTTCTGTTTCAACCGTTTTTGGGATCTAATTAACAGGGTCAAGTGATTGGAGTTTGCTTCAGATAAGATGTCTCTTGATAAGTTTGCAAATTGACATTCCAGAAATCCCATGATTGGACTATCCTCAACTCCTATCTCTAGCAATTTATTAATCAGATTGAGAAACGCCGACTGCTCGTGATTGTAGTTGGTATAGTTGATGCTCTTTTCATCGATATCATCCAGATGTACACCGACTAGCTGATCCCACAAAAGTTCCCGAAAATTAGAAACTAAGAGTTCCACTTGATCCCAGACTCGGAGAAGAATACCAGAAACTTCTCCATCGTCCATCAATCGCTCCTTTGATTCTTTTGCGACAATGTAATCAGATATGAACGAACTGTAATCGTTTTTCTGAATGGAGTTTCGTAACGATTTTGGCAGATCAAAAATAATGCTGTTCTTCTGAATGTATTCTAGGGTGTGCTTTAAAGCGCTTTCAGTCCTGGCTTCTTCTAAGACTGGTTTCAAAAGCTCGTTGGAACGAGCCATTGTTTCCTCAATCAGATTTTTCAAGTAATCAACTGCTGCCTGTTTTCCTCCTTTGACATTCTCGTTACTTATCAATTTCATATTATCAAACTGTTTGAAAATTCTATCCAGAGAGTTCTTGGATTTGATGTAAACTAGAAACTCAGACTCAATGAGTAGCCGAAGATCTTTGTTCTTTGTCTTTACATTGTGTTCCAGATACGATAAACCCTGCTCCATCTCTGAGGCGGACAGGTTTGGATGGACGTTCTTTAAAAACAAATCCGGCTTGAACCTGTAGCTGCTAATCAAATAGTCAAGCTTCTTGTCATCCCTGGTGTCATCAATGACCTCATTATCAATCAATTCATCTAAGACCGACGGACGAAACCCCAAAGGATCTTCAGTGTTCAGTTTGTTGTTGTTTTTGGGGTCTTGTATCGTCTTAGTGGAGGTTTCATGGTCAATTAAACGTTTCAGAAGATCAAGATTATCAGCAATTTTTTCGCTCTCTGGGTAATTGAACTCCAGATCAACAACATCTCTATTCCAGCTTTGAGGGTTGGTTGACTTTAGGCGGTAGAATGATAGTATTTCATCTGTATTCATTCCTCAAGTGTTGATGGGGTCTTCTCCTGCCTGCCGGTATTCGTGGATATTTATATCGCGACCACATCTCAGTATTTATTCATTACAATAGACTCAACGGCCTCAAAACTAGCTAAGCTAACCAACTAACCTACCATGGTCTATGGCTAAAACCCGATCGCAAATCCTTATCAGCTCTTGGGAATGTGTCACAATTATCACAGTGTAGCCATTGACCCTCAATTGCTTATCCACCAGATCCTTGATCCCCTCGGTATTTTCTGGATCTAAAGAAGACGTTGGTTCATCCATAACAATCACCTTCGGCTCTCTCAATATTGCCCTTGCTATAGACAACCTTTGAGACTGCCCACCTGAAATTACTGAATTCAAGCTGCCGATATAGGTGTCCAATCCTTCGGGTAAGCTTCTTATATAATCGTCCATCATTGTTACTTTCAAGGCCCGTAAGATCAAACGATCACTAACTCCTTCCATTCCGTATGCCAGGTTTTCCCTGATGGTGCCATCAAAGAATGTTGGTTTCTGTTGGATAAGGGTGACCTGTTCCCTGAACCATGGAACTTCAATGTCTTTAATATTGACACCATTGTATCTAATGCATCCTTTTTTGGCAAAGAAAAGTCTATTTATTAGCATGGCGATGGTAGATTTTCCAGATCCAGACGGTCCAACAATTCCAAGCACTTCACCTTGGCTGACTCTGAATGATATGTTATTCAAAGCAGTTGCTGATACATGTGGATACTGGAAGTCAACTGCCACAAACTCAATTACTGGTACTAAACTTCTACATTGGGGTTTGAGATTTCCTTTGACTTCCACAGGGGAACTTTTGAGTCCTAGTAACCTTATGAGATACGTTCCTGCTCTTTGCCCTCTGCTAATATCTGGTATCTGTTGCATCAAATCAGAGACCCCCATTAATGCGAATATCATTAAACTCATGACTTCCATTAATTGAGATACCGTGTACTGTTCTTCGGAAACAAGTTTCATCCCATAGTAAAGAATAACAGCTTGAGCAACATATACTAGAAACAGAGATAACGCATTCCCAAACCCAATATAAATTGCTCTACTCGTTCCTTCACATTGTAGCGCTTCTACCTTTTCTGAAAATTTGCTGATGAAATGTGACTCCAGCTTCAGGCACCTGATCGTCTTGATTCCTGTGATAGTTTCATGAAGCTGATTCTCTGTAAGAGCCACCTCATTTTTGTACCCATTTTCTGCTGTCTCCAAAAGTCTGGCATACAGTGCTGCACTAAGTAAGAACAGGGGAACCACAGATATGGCCACCAAAGATAACTTCCAGCCAATTACTATTGACCACACTGAACCAAGCGTAAGAACGACAATACCGGTGAATACAACCTCCAAGAGACTGGATACCAAGGTCTTGAGATCTCTCGAGTCGTTCATCAAAAGTGCTGATATTTCTGCTGGTTTATTCAGCTTATTTGAGAACCAGTTCATGTCTTGCAGTAAGAGTTTGTTTAGAGCTTTGGTACGAATCAAATAAATCCATCTTTCAGAGGCGTAACCAAGGGCAATCTTTTTGGTGATTAAGGTTAGAGTATCTATCGAGATTACCAAAATCACTAGCAATGCCCACTTGAGAAGGTATCTTGCGCTGCCAACGTAGGAATCGACTGGTACTATGCCGGCTAATAGTTTGGCAAAACACCAAGAAAAAATTGGATTGCAAGAGCCATTGAAGACTGCTAATACAATACCGACTACTATCAAAGACTTATGGCAGAGGTATCTGTTCATTAATCTGAAAATTTGGATGATTGACATGAGATTTTGTGGCCTTTCTTTTATGGCAGCCGTCTCAACAGTTGTGTCCCACGAATCCCTTTTCTTTTCAATTGGATTGTTTTCCGCATTATGACCAACTGGTTGACCAAAAAAGTTCGAAAATACTCTCGTTACTCTATTAAAATAGGCATTTGAGATTCTGTCGGATGGGTTCGTTTCCAGTCCTATAAACAACTCATATTCATCGCTAAAGATATCTTTTATCATATTCTGTTGAATTTGCACTAGATGTGAAAACTTGCTGTCGGGGTTCTTTAGTAGTTGATCTTTTGTTCCTGTTTCTTTTACTTCTCCATTTTCCATAAATATGACTTCATCATCATTTTGAATCTGCTGGTAATCATGTTCCATAAATATGGTTGTCTTTCCC